GCGCTCCAAACCTTGTGATGATGCTCTTCCAAATGAATTTCTTGCATTGTTGCGTGGTAATGCTGGCCAATGCTTCGGCCTCGATCCACTTGGTGAAGTAATCGATGGCTACGATTACGAACTTCTTCCCTCCTTGAGCGACTGGGAAGGCTCCAATGATATCAACCCCGAATCTAGCGAATGGGATGACATTCGATACAGGGTGGTAGTAGGTTGCTGGTCTACCGGGATATTTATAGAATACTTGGCACGTCCTGCATTTCTGGACGTACCTTTCACAATCCTGGACAATTGTTGGCCAGTAATATCCCAACAAGATGATGCGCTGGGAAAGCGTACGAGACATTTGATGCGCCGCGCATACGCCTTCGTGGACTTCCGCTATGACTCGGCTCAGCTTCCCGGTTGGTTAGACATCTCAGGAGTGGCCCCCCAAATGCCCTTTTATATAGCTTTCCATCAAGAATCTGGAATCGGGGTGCCCTGAGCTTCACTTTTCTTGCCCGGTCATCTTGTTCTGGCAAGCTCCCATCCGTCAAATATTCCATCAGATCATACATCCAATGGTCGTCCGCCCCACCAAGTTTGACCGGTCAAACTGGCTTCCGGCAGTTATTGCGGCGACTTCCAATTTCTCGATGCTTGCACGGTCAAGGATCTCTACCCGGGCAAGTTTCGAAACGTGCTCGGGAGCATACTGCGTCAATTTGGAGAGAAGGTCTGCATCCGCGTTCTCCGCCCGAGGAATTTGGGCGATCTTGAATTCTTCGAAGCCTTTCAACAGGGCAAGTACAAGGTCCTTGCATTGTGCCATGCGTCCTTCCCTTGCTTCCATGTTACCGGTCACCTGCCCTACTATCAGGCTAGAGTCAGATTTGATACTGACCCGGCTGATTTTCAGGGCTTGGGCAAGTCTGAGCCCTCCAGCCAGAGCTTCATATTCTGCCTCATTGTTCGTCAGCTTGAAGTTGAAGACGATTGCATGGTAGATCTTGAATCCTTC